CACGCAGTTTACGTTCACCATTCATTCATATACAGACAAAGACTTGCTGACATGTTGCTGATGAGATTAAATACCTCTCGTTATCTGAACGTGTTTGTGGTGAATAAGACGCCGTTTTTATGGTTGGAGTTTAACACTGAACTGCCGTGTTCTTGAGCTTTGTTTAACATCTCAGGCTATTGTCATGTGTCCTGCTATTAAAGGCCGTCTCTGTTCAGTAGAGCTGCCAGTGTTAAAATAGTAGTTTAGTAGCGGCTGTGGCTCAGTGGTAGAGTCGGTCGTCCCTCAACCTGAGGGTCGGGGAATCGATCCCCAGCTTCTGTAACCACATATCTGATGTGTCCTTTGGTAAGACCCTTAAACCCAAGTTGCTCCCACTGCTTTGTCAGCTGCGTGTGAATGTGTATGAATGGAGTAGTCAAAACTGATTGCATCATGTAGTTTGGCTTTAAAGGCCATGCAGGCGGCTAAGAACTATAGTGGCGACGCAGGCCGACTGTGGCGTTGTCTCCCGTTACCTCACGACGCCTTTGTCTTGTCCAAAAAGTTGCACTTGAACACACCGCAAAGACTACAGCTGACGACCAGCCCCCACGTATAAGGTCTGGCAAAGAGTGAGAGGAAATAACTCTCCATGCCAGCAGGCGGTGGTAGTCCGTTGTAATGATACAAGAAGACCGCTTTCAAACTGCTGTGGGTCACCACTCGAGACATAGGTACTTTCATTTGAGAATAATGTCTGATAAAATGTTGAAAATGGGACTGGCATTGTCAGCTGGTCTTTGAGTGGAAAAAGAAGAGACTACAAATAAGGAGAAACCGCACTAATGGGTGAAAGCATTGACACTACAGCGGCAGGCTCAAGGGTCTTTCCTGAACCTGTGTCGAGGGATGGAGTTAAATGAAACCTCTGAACAGCCAATCAGAGTGATTCCTCCCACCAACAGCACCGAAGCCTACAGACGCTGATTCAACATGTCCAATCGACTAAAAAAAAAAAGAGGCAGACGGGGGCCGGCGGTTTGTGACGGAGCTTGCTGGGCACACCGCAAAAACTAGGACAACGATCGCTCACTGTCAGTCCAACTCGGGGCCGATTGGCCGACGATCTCCTTGGCGTGTCAGGGCCTTAACTGCTCCCTTTTGGCATAATGTTGAAATGCACCATATTCATGCGTCCTTCAGAACTGACATTCCAGCGTTTGCAGCCACACCGATTCTATAACATCTGAATCGATGCTCGTACTATTGATTGGTACATCATTTAATTCCTTGTATTGTTATTGTAATCAACTTCATGAGCTTTTTTCACAGTTATATAAAGGGACAGTGCAATGAGCTATCTCCCTTGTTTATTTTTATGCTGAACAGACTAATGATTTTTCCATATTATAATTGTCTTTATCGTAACCTCTCTTTGAAGCCATTCTGTCCACTTTTCTAGCAAATCCTAATCCAAGCCAACATTTCAGAGCGAGAACAGCGAGAGTTGTTTCATCTGATCTGCTGAACACTTCACATCTCCACATGTGGGAATCTGCCTGTGATGATGTTTGCTCTGGATGCACACACCCACACCCCACTCCATCCCAACAAGAGGGGACATTTCCATGACAAAGGACAATTATTGACTTTCATTGGCTCCGCTTGCTTTGATATCAGCGAGGGGTGTGTCTGTGTGACCGTGTGTTTGTGCTGGAGGGGGCGGGATGGAGGGCAGCCGTGGAGTAGAAGAAGAAGAAACAGGGGGGACCTGATGAAAGGAGCTGAGTGGGAAAATGCACCCACTGACCCAGAGTGCACTAGCAGAAGTGGAGGATCACAGCGGCGAGAAAGAAATCATTCATTAAGATTTTCTTTCTTACACTCCTGTCTGCTCCTGTTTTCTGTATCCTTCCTCACTTTTCTTGCCTGTGTTTCCCTCCTGTCTATTCCTTTCCTTTCTCAAATCTACCACTTCTAACTCTTTTTATCTCGCTATGACTGATCCTCCCCCTCTCTCTTTTCTCCCCTCTCGCCCTCCCTCCCTTCACAGCCATAATTTAAGGGGCTGAAAGGCACGGCGAGCGGAGAAAAGAGGAGAAGAGAGAGCTGAAGAAAAGGGGAGACCCTGCAGATGAGGGCCTTCCTTCACGGACGTGGCACAGATGTGAGGGTGTTTTCTGTGAAATGAGTCAGGGAGGGGCGGCGATAGGCTAATTTGCGCGGCATAAAGACGGGCCTCTTTTCATATGCAGAGCGCCACTTTGATGCGCGGCCGATGAAAGCTGGAGGGAGCGCGGAGGAGAGGAGAAGAGAGAGAGCTGACGGAGAGGTTCTTTGTCCCCTGACAAGAAGGCATCTGCTCCACGCTGCCCTCCTTCTCCTCCTCTCCTCTGCTATCCAGAGGCTCCCACAATGGGCCGACCGGGAGGGAAAAGTGTCATCAGAGCACCTTAGAAAACAGGACATGGAAAAAAAAACAGGGTGTATGCATGTCAACAACCAATTCATTTGACAAAGATCTGGCAATAAACATTTTTCCACAGCTGACAGAACACATCTACACTTTCGCTGATTGTCCTCTTTCAGAAACGAACCATGCAAATTCTCCTCCATTATTCGAATCACCATCAATGGCTGACAGGGTGAAAGGTGTGTTTTTTTGTTTGTTTGTGTGTGTGTGTATGGGGGAGAGATCAGAGAGAGTCCATGTGCTGAGGTGAGTGGCGGTTTCTGTGTGCGCCCTGCTGTGAGTAGACCGTAGGACCTCCAGTGTGTTTATCTGTATTTGTGTGCATGCATGCATATGTGTGTCCCTGCGGCTCTGATCACAGGCGGAAAGCTCACCAGGGCCCTGTCACCGAACACTGGCTGATTTCATGCTTGCACAATAGCTGAAACTCTGCAGCGGAGCAGAGAGAGTTTAGCCAGGAAAAGCTCAACCTGTCTCCTTTGCTTTAATCATTTCGTTAATCTAATTTTAGTTTTCAGTCAGTGGGTTTGAGATCATTGCCTTTTTAAGTTATATCACTCAATAAGTTGTAATAAAAAGGAAGAAAGACCAAAGTATTATTTTTTTTAGGAAATGCGGACAGTGTGGCTCCTATGAGTTGGCCATATTGTCGGCCCATCCTCATGTCCAGACTGAAACAATTCAGAAACTATCGGATGAATTGGATTGACACCACCAGCTTGTTGAGCCTGCTTGCCTCACCAGTCTTGATGCCACACCACAGCAAAGAGGAGGCACTGGCCACCACAGACTGGTAGAAGGTCTTCAGGAGTCTGTTGCTGACACTGAACGATCTGAGTCCCCTCAGGAAGAACATCCTGCTCTGTCCTTTCCCGAAGAGGGCGTCAGTGTTGTGAGACCAGTCCAGTTTATTGTTGATGTGGACCCCCAAGGTACTTGTAAGAGGTCCACTCTCTCCACTTCCTCCCCTTGTATGATGACTGGGGCAGGGGGCCTCCTCAAAGCAGGGGACCTCCTCCTGTAGCATACTAGCAGGTTAACCTTTTCAGGGCTTTCCTGTATCCTGTGAAATATTTGTTCTATTGAATGAAATGAATATTGAAAGCGATACATACTCCTCAGAGGTTGAATCACACGCTGACCCTCAAGGTTTTAAATTAAGCACACCAGTTGGTCAAGGTTTTTACAGCACATGTCACTCTTGTTCTACTCCCTCCACTGGCTCCCAGTTACTGTTGGCATCAAACTTACAACCCTGCTGCTCGCTTACAAACGAGCAAAAAGAACCTGCTCCTTCTTACCTAAACTCTCTCATCCAGGTCTACACTCCCTCCCGCCCTCTATGCTCTGCAAATGAAAGGCGTCTGATCCAACCTTCACAACAGGGTCCTAAGTCTCTGACTAGACTCTTCTCCTCTGTGACCTACCCGGTGGTGGAATGAACACCCAAACTCCATTCAATCTTCAGAGTCCCTTTGCACCTTTTAGAAAAAGCTAAAGACCCAGCTCTTTCATAAACACCTATGCACTTATTGATATTGATAATGATGATGATGGTGATGATGATGATGATGATATTTAGGATGGTTTGTATGCCGATTAGAAGTCTCAATAACAGCATGTCTATGTAGTTGTTGTTGACGATATATGAACTTCCTTTTAAAAAGTGCTTTGCCTCTGTGCACTGCCTGTCAGCACCTGCTTGTTCAATCAGACTTAAAGCTGTTTTTGCACTTACTGACGTTTCCTCGTCTCTTGATCCTTCCTGGTGTTTTCTTACCTCTTTGATGTCCGTCGCTTTGGATAAAAGCGTCTGCTTAATGAATTGTAGAATTTTCCATTAAAATATCTCAACATCTGCTGCTGATTTATTGGAACGAGATCAGTTAGACATTCATGGCCATCTGAGGATGTGTCCTACTGATCTTGGCGCTCCTGATTCGATTTGTGTTCTAGGAAAACCACAATGGGTTCCTAGTGTAAGCAACATGTTTCTCTCAAATCCCAAATAAGGCTTTTTTTCCACCACTAAATTGTTAAACCGAGCATAGCGTGGCTTCATCTGACTGCATCAAAAAAGTGTAGAAGTATATCTATTATACCTAGGTCTCTATCCAAAGTGTAAAATGTATGTATGCTGAGTAAGAAACCATTACTTATGTACATAAAGTAATGTGTGTCTTTTTTGCGAAAATTCACATGAAAATGATGAAATTGTCATCAATTACAAATTTCTAGTGGACATTCATGGTCCTCAGATGATGTTTCCTTATTTTGGTGATCCCCTGACATTTTGCCCAGGGCCCAAGTCCAATACGACCCTTTTGAAATTAATTAAACTTTGAAAGTCAAACGTCTCAATGAAGTTATTAAAGTCTAAAAAAAATCATTAATTTGATTGAAATTTCTCATTAAACCAGTTGTCCTCTGTATTCACTTTTCACTGACTTTTCCCTTGCTCAATAAGTAAAACTATGATGCTGCCAGAAGGTCTCTGGGTCTTTCATCTGGGTAAAAATAACTAGATGTCTTTGTCTTATTCTAGGTGATCTTTGCCCTGAACCAGACGTTACTACAGCAGGAGTCTCTGCGGGCAGGAAGCCTACAAGTTCCATACACCACTGAGGACCTCATCAGGCACTACAACTGCGGAGATCTGAACTCCATCATCTTTAATCATGACACCTCCCAGGTCAGTTTCATCTTATCATATGTTATGTAGCAGTGGTCTTTAACGACATTCACTGTATAGTTAATAAGCTAAGAGTCATTTTGACCCCTTGACCTTTGGGAGTGTCCCAGTGACATGACCCTTTCGACCTATTACCTTCAGCCCTAAACCTCTGACTGACCTTTCACTCCTCCCAATAGAAATGTTTTTCTTATTTTGACACCTTCATTGATCAAAAAAGAGGTGGAAAACTTTTATCAATTCTGTTCTAAAATGTCTTCTCTTTTCTTTAGATCTAAGTGAGATCCCTGGTAAACAAAATAAATATTCTCTCCCTCTTTTCGTTTTTAATTTTTACGGTATGCCTTAACCATCACCACTCAATCCTCTTACAGGTCCCCAACTTCAACAATGTGACACTGCCGCCCAGTGAGCAGGTGACTGCCCAGGAAATAGACAGCTACTTCCGACAGGAACTCATCTACAAGAGGAATGAGAGGATGGGCAAGAGGGTGAAGGCACTGCTGGAGGATCACCCTGACAAGAGCTTCTTCTTCGCCTTTGGAGCAGGTTGGTGTAAAAAAAAAAAAAAGATAATGAAACAAGGTTTAATGTCTTTGATATTTGGAATCTCGTCAAAAGACGCCACTGTTCTGGGGCTAGAAATGCCTCACAAACACGATACAAACTTTGGACTAGTCCACACGTAGGCAGGTATTTTTGAAGAAAAGAGGTTTTTGTGTGCGTTTTGGCCTTTTGTACAAACACAAGCAGCAGAGTGTTTGGTTTGTAATGTCACACTGTGCGTTAGTGCGATAGCAGACCTCACCAAACTAGTGCTGGTGTTAATGTTGCCGACTGGACTTTTTACATACTTACACATACAGTGCATACACAGTTACTCACCCACTATGTTGAAGAGCAGAGGCTCCTGAATTGACAACTTTTTAAAAGGAAATACTCATTGCAGAGGAATGGTGAGAAAACTTTAGCATGTCAAGGACTTCATTTTTAACTTGGCATGCTCATGACAGCTGTAACAGTGCGTTTTGTGTTTTCATGTGAATGAAGATTTTTCTGAGTGAGGATAGCCAGTGGACGGGGAAAAATATCTGCCTACCTTTGATCTTCTTTATTTGTCTCGGGCCATGCTTCGCTCAATAAGGTTACTTTTATCCTGGCGACAAAATGACTTTAATTGCTCACTTTGTTCGGACAGCACTCCTGCAGAGTGAAGAGAGAGGAGATAGACAGCATCTTAGTCCAAGCAGCTTAACTAACTCATGTACAAGAGGAGAAAAACAAAGACAAGAAAAACCAAGCTGATCAGGCGAGAGGTGGAGCTCGCCAATTAGCTTCTGCTTCTAATCTGCAAAGCGTTTTTGCTTTAATTCTCAATGGAAAAATAAATACTGTAAGAGAGATCTACATTTAAAAAGTCAATGTAATGACTTATTCAAATGTGTCCATTCCTCCTTTAAATATCTGGCGATTCTATATGTGGGGAACGGGTGTTAATAAGCAACCCTTCAACTTAGAGGCTCGGCTGAGTTAACGAGACCAGACTGGGCCACTGATCTACAGCTTTATCAGCCAAGAGGCCAAATAAAACAGAGTTGTGGTTGGTCTTTCTAAAGCAGAGGCTCAATAAATCCTTTTTTTTTTTTTAATCAGCTCAAGCCTAACCAGAAACAGACATTTGGCCTTCTAGATCCTTTCACATAGTTTTAAACATGTCAGTTTAATACTTTGAATTCCTCAATAACTATGCTGCAGCCTCATAAGCAGCATCCACCTGATAAGAGAGCCTTTAAGTGGGGATGATAAAAAGGGCAGATAACAGCAAAGACGTTTTCCCAAAGTTGCCAACTTAACTGAGTGTGTGTGTGTGTGTGTGTGTGTGTGTGTGTGTGTGTGTGTGTGTGTGTGTGTGTGTGTGTGTGTGAGAAGTCATGTTTCCTAGCTGAATGATGTGTATCTAGGGGAGAAAGTCTTTGTTCAGTTGGAGTCATATTGGTTTTTCCATCCTGTGATTGTTTGATCAAAGCGTTGTTCTCCCCTAGGCTTAAAGGTTACTTGTAACCATTCACTCAGGGTATTTATTTAGTTTGGATAAAGGGAATTACTCATAGGACTTTCACACTTGCAGAGAACTTCTGATAAACTCCTGATATTTCCCGGAGGAGATGTATGTGTGAACACAAACAGCCAAATTTCTCCTGCCAGACACCTAGTATTTTTTCAGCAGTCACTTTTGAGTGAGCTGATGTGAGAACACAGCAGGGTATTCTCTGGAGAAGTCACCTCAAGCCAATGGGATGGGGGAGAGATGTTTACATACTGTGTGTGATGCACATAATGGACTTTTAAACCGCTGCATTACACTTTCTGTTTTTCAGGATGTTGTTCTCCACTCTTTTGTTGATATTGTGATTCCGTTAAACTACACTTAGCATTGATATAAAGGTGAACAGCCAGTCCAGGAGAATATCTGGAGCAGCCCTCATGAAATGATCTAGACATTTTAGGAGTATGTAACACTCCGGATACAAAATTAGTTTAAATAAAATGTGTATGTAGAAATAATAAATGATCAAAAAGGCTAAATGTAACAAATGACTGTGTTCAGGGTTAATGTAAACACACTTGAAGTTAATCAAGGAAAAACCCACAATAAAATAAAATAAAACAGGCCTTCAGTTCACAATTCACTTTCACAATTTCTTTACGGGCACCTTTTACCCTCCATACATCAGACCATAATCAATACACTAAACATCCCCAATTATAGCAATTCTCTTCAGATAAATCCGTGCCCGAAACACATTACACTTACTGCAGTTATAGTTATGTGTGTGCAGAATGTCTGAGGAATTTAAGGGTTTATTTAGGTAAGGGAAATCCTACCACACCAAACAGCCAGACTTGAGGCCTGCCTTTTGGGGGAATCTCCATGAGTCTTTGAGGTTAATCCTTTAGCTTGCCATCTTCATCCTTACATTGCTCCAGCAATGTTTGCCTGACCTGTGTTCAAAGTTTTGCTCCTCAGCAGCAGCAGCAGCAGCACATCCGTTTGCAAGTCAACTTATTGTTCTGCTCATCAGTTGATTTATTTGCCTGTGTTAAATAATTTCCCATCGTGACAGATACCATGCTGTAAATTTAGTGTTCATTGACCAATTAAAATCATCTTAATTTTCACACTTTAAATGCAAAGTTAGCAGGAAGTGTAGCAGCAAAGTTACCAAAAACAAAACACATACCGAGAAAATGCCAACATAAATCCTATCATTACATAAAAACACGTCAATTAAAATCTACTTTAAAGAATATATTTACATTTCAGAACTTTTTTTGTAAGCCTTCAAAATAAAAAAAAAGCACATCATGGACTTTTAAGTTAAGTGAATTTATGACCACGGAAACCATAAAAGCCCCCTTAAAGTTTATGATATTTTTATAGTGAGGGGTTCATACCCTTTGGAAAGAATCTGTGCGCCCAAAATTTGATTTAGTTCATTACAGGATCCGTGTGGAGCGGAGAGGCTCAAATTCTAGTGACAACAAATCACAGTCAGATTTTCCTCGTGATGACATCGTTAGAAATGTCCACATCCAAAGGTTCTCTGGTTATTCAGACGCAGGATGCAGCGAAAAACCGAAGCAGAAAAAGAGAGGCCTTCACAGTCTGTTGGTCTCCTAGCTGGCAGGAAACAGCTGAGGAAAAGCAGAGACACACACGCGACACACACACACACACACACACACACACACACACACACACACACACACACACACACACACACACACACACACACACACACACACACACTGGAGCTCTAACAAGGAGTACATTTCACGGTGTGTCCCAAAGGAGGTGCCTTTACAAGGGCTCGGTCTTAAAAGGTGTGTGCCTCAATGTGCGTGTGCTCGTGTGTGTGTGTGTGTGAGGGAGAGAGAGAGAGAGAGAGAGAGAGAGAGAGAGAGAGAGAGAGAGAGAGTGAGTGAAAGCTGGTGAGTGAAAGTGATATGGGCAATCAGCCCAGAAGCACTGGTTGTAGACATATAGAGGGCAGGTTGGGTCGTAGAGTACAAGAAACGGGATGGGGCACATTAAGGTGCCTTCACATGTTCCCAGGCCAGAACACACACACACATACACACACACACACACACACACACACACACACACACACACACACACACACACACACACACACACACACACACACACACACACACACACACATACACACTCACGCACTCACACACACAATATATACGTTCTCACATATACACACATTTATACACATTCTTTCCAGCCCCCAAGCAATAGCTAAGACAGACCTGGGTAAAATGTGTCCTTAATTATCCCTGGAGGGGTCAGGACACACACACACACACACACACACACACACACACACACACACACACACACACACACACACACACACACACACACACACACACACACACTCTCTCTCTCCCTCTCTCTACAATGGAGCCCATTATATCAGGCATACTCAACTTCAGTGTTACAATCAGACATTAGAGCGTTCTTATCCGTGGCCATCTTTTGTCTCTCTGAATCCTCATTAAAAGGCTCTCTCGACAAATTCATCACGTAGATGTTGTCTAACCTGCCGTTGTGTTTTTTTTTTTTTCCTAAATAAAATAGTTTGCTGAACTATTTGTGTGACGCATGGCATTGACCAGAAACCGTGAAAGCAAACGGACCCCCTTAATTGTGATGGTGTATTTTTTGAAAATTAGATGACTCAAAATTCTCCTTTTTCTGTCTCGTTCTTTCGGTTGTGGCAGAAATCTGTCTACTATAAGTCTGGTTCATCTCGAGGTTTCTGCCTGTTGGAAAGAGTGTTTCCTTGCCACTGTTACAACGTGCTGTTGATGGTGGATCAGCGTTGGGTCACTTTGAATATAGAGCAGGTCTAAGCTGTGCTCTATGTTATATTATTTAAAGTATCATGAGATGATTTAGGGATTTATAAACCAAAATGGAATGATTAGTTGGTTGATTCATCCAGATTTGACTCAATATCTGATCCAGAGGAATATCCCTTGTGCTTCTTGATAGAGTAATCACATGTTTAGCATATTTCCCATCCCCATGTAATGATCCTATTACCCTGCAGGGGTTGGCCCACAGATTCCTGACTGACCTATTTTGAAAATTCTTGAGGGTTTTCATTTTTACCTCTAATAAGCCTTATTGCCACAACAAGTTAACAAAACTGTTTATACATGATGATATGTTTCTGCACAAATTGCGCTGTGGGTTGCAGATTGAGCTCGGTCATAGGAAAGTGAAGATATCGGAGGAGTTGAGGATAAAAGTGTTGAGATATCCTGTTTATTTAGCGTTTAAGGGAAGCTTCGTTTATGTGTCTTTGTCAGGGTAGAAATGTGTTTGCATCATAAGGAAAACACTGTTTATGTATACAATTGATTTAGCAGACGCTTTAATCCAAAGCGACGAGCATCAGAGAGTAAGTACAACACCAGCAAGGATCTAGAGAGGTGGAAACAACGTCAGGAAGTGCTAACAAACA